TAAATTGTTTCCGCGCATTTTATAGATTTTTCCTTGGAACAACCTAATGTTTCTCTCCACCAGCAGTATAGTGTAACAGCTAATGCTACACAGTTTCTTCTTAATTACTTTTGGTAAAAATCAACATTTAACCTTTTACTTTACAAAATTGATAAGTTTTAGTCTTTTATCTTATAATATGATATTTTTAACTCTTTACTTTACAAATTTGATGAGTGTTAACCTCTCACTTTACAAAATTGATAAGTTTTAACCTTTCACTTTATATTATGATATTTTTAACCCCTCACTTATATGAATTGAAAAAAATTACTCTCACCTAATATTAAGTTGTAATATTTTGTTGGTTCTATTAGTTGACTTTTAACATCCGTTAGCAGTTTGTTATAAAAAATATGAAATTTAAATTTAATTTTATTTCTTAGTTCCATTAATGAAATGTTAACAAAATGACAATCAACTAACAAAACTAACAGAATATTATAACCTGATATTAAGTGAGTTATTTTCTTCAATTTGTATAGATAAGGGGCTAAAAGTGTTATAATATAAGGTGAGGAGTTGAAACTTATTAATTTTGTAAGGTGAGGGGTTAAACCTACCAACTTTATAAAATAAAGTGCTAAAAGTATCATATTATAAGGTTAAGAATTAAAATCTATTAATTTTATAAGATAAAGGGTTAAAAATTAATTTTAACCATTACTTTCTTATGTACTCCTACAGTGACAAAGCAACCACCTTGTAATATCCCAAATTTTCGGGAATATTTAAGTGTAAGTTAAGGACTTGATTGTGAGAAAAGATTGTTTTGGGGCCTAATGTGAACATTTCAAAAGTTGAGGGACTTAAAGAGGAAAAGAATTTGGATAAGGATGACTTCTTTTCTTTTTCTTTTTCCTTCTTTCTTTTCTTCCCAGCCTTGCCCGATTCTGCTCTTCTCTTCCCGCTGCAGCCACCCGAAAGAAAAAAAAGAGGAACCCAGCCATGCCTTGGAAAATTGGTGAAAAAGCTTGGAGATTTCTCCTTCCTTCTTGTTCTAGAACCCATAAAGAACCCAGAAATTTCCCCTCCCTCTCTGTAGAATCCGGATCTACCCTGCTTTGCTCTGTCCTTCCGCCGGCTGCTCCTGCTTTGTGGGGGTGATTTGCTCCGGTTTTGGGTAAGAAACAGCTACCAACCCCTCTGTTCTTGCTTGAATTAACTTGGGTCTACCTTAATTGCTCTTGGTTCTCCATTTTTGGGTAGATTTCCGTGAGTTCCCTGCAGCTTGCCGCCGGCCTCTTCCCCCCTGCAGCTCCAGTTTCTACAGCTGGAGAATTATGGTATGTGACAGCCTTTTAAGGCTTAAATTGTCCATTTAGTTTGCTGCCTTGTGTGTCCGTGAATTGCTAGAAAATTGGGGATAATTCCGGTAGCTTTAGGACCATGATTAAGCACTAATTCAAGTGGAATTTATGTGATTGAGTGTTAATTGCTTGTTGTGATTTTTGGAGAGAAAATCCCGTGAGATTAGCTAGTGTTTTGGCCAATTTGTGGAAGTGGAGTTACTGTTCACGTCGGGGTCACTGTTCACCGGTTACTGTTCAC